CAATTCAATGACAGACGCCATCTTTACGTTGTCACTATCAACGAGTGTAAAGTTATACAGAAACAAAACAGAATATCTGTATGCTGTTCCTAAACCAGGATAAAGGCTCACTCTCGAATATTAAGAAAAGCTCGATTCTGCAGCAGGAGGAGAATAGAAGATTCAAGGACGATAAGTTGAACACGCCTAAGACAGGTGTGCTATGTTACGGCTATTAGTTCATTGGACAAACCCGAACAACTGCAATACGGGAATTTTGGAGAAATAGACAGGTACAAATTCTAAATAATCAGGATTAGGCGTTGAATCTTAGAATGTGAGAACCAAGTTAGAAGAAATGTGCAATGTATATTCCATGTGGATGATACATTACGGTGGAGCGAGAGTTGGATTCGAAACATGGAGTAATGTTTTGAAAAAAGTGACTACAAAGCATAATACATGGCCTTTTGTTTCGGGAAAGTGAGCCAGAGAAACCTCAACAAATTGGTGAATGCCATCAGTCAAGAATCTTCTTTCCATTGTGACAAATGATAAAAAATTAATAAAGGATTATCGTACAAGGTTTGATTTACCGGATGAGAACAGCAATATGTGTGCTCTGTGATAAGCAAAAACCACCGGGAAATTCCTAGCAGACAATATCATACCAGATCTTTTACTGGAAGCGGAACACTGATCACGTTGAATAGATACAAGCAACAGCAGGGCTCCCTGGAAAAACTCCGTACAGATGCATGCATAGCGCTAGAAACGCATTCATACAGGGTCCACTACGGTAGCTTCAACAGCAGGAATGCTGACTGATAGCATGTTCTGTTAATTTCGCCAAGTGAAACGAAGGTCAGGCAATTACGCGGTGAAGAAATTGATAGTTCCAAGAAAAGAAAAATGGGAAGTCTATGGAAAAGATTACTCAGTCTCATAAAAACTGTCGAGAAGCCATGTGAGGTGGCCGTAGACTTAACCATAGGAAGGTAGAAAAGCAACTCATTCTGACTACAGACCTCCAATAAAGGAAAAAGTTTAAGAAAAATGGTGCATGCGCATGCATATTATTATTTTCATGTAGGCTTTCTTCGGCGCTCTGCAGTAAATCCGTGCTACAAAGTATAATATTTCGATTTAACAAACTTGACCTTCTTCAGGTATTACAAAAATCACACAATAATATACATAGATTTAATATATGCGCGCAATTAGTATCTTCAAGAACAATGGAAATTAACTAAATGTTGATGTTTCATACAGAAAGCACCATATGTTCATGTTGTGCATCATATCCAGTTATGAAGAAAAAGTAAATCCGTCAGATCCAGAGTGCCACAACAACAGTTGGTCGTCGTTATTGATGCTGCTTCATGAATACCATGGTGACCAAGCAAACAATGCTTCACTGCGGTCTTACTTGGCATTGGATCTGGTACTTTGACCTTTGCTCGCTTTATGCTGCGTAAACGCAACGCAGTTTTTTTGTGACAGTGCGTTACATGACTTAATTTCCGTTAGGCTTCCCAATTTCATGCAAATGCACAGCTGAGTCTAACGGTTGTGGCATATTGCACGTTAAAGAGTTCTCTCCTCATTGTGTTCGGGCGATGAAAGGATTGAATCTTCAAATTTAAGGAGAAAAACTTTTGTATATTCTTGATTTTAATCCACCAGTATATAGATAATTCCCTATTCAGAAGATCGATGCTATTAAACGTTCTCCCTTTGAGGGTAAATATGGACACCTTCTTCTCCCAATTTTTCTATCTTCGTTTGCAAGCAGAATGATTTTTCTAAACAGCAATTTAAAACTCATCAATCCCGTTGTTTCTATATGATAACTAGATGTAGAGCATAGTCTTTCGTTGGTAAGCATATTGAAAACTGCAGAAATATTGCGGATTTCATTCAAAGGGACACTAAGGATCCAGTTCTACGACAATGTCAACTGGGACAAAGGGGACGCAGGAATACAACCTGACATTAAAATCATCTTTATCTTGAAA